ACAGCCAAAACTGTCGAAAGCCAGTCATCAGTATCGACGAGAGGAGAGAGCTACTCCCAAAGAAACTAGAGGGGACAATTCGTGAAACCGCCGCATAGCCTAACTTTTTACTTCTTTTTTTTAACCAGTGTACAATGTATAATATGAAGGAGGAAACCAGATTTTTCTATTTCCTGTAAGGCTCCTGGGTTTTACATGCTTAGCATCAGCATTATGTCTTTGTTGGTGTGTTTTAAGAGTTTTATTTTACATATACAGTTTGCTTTTTATTTATTTTTTGTTGTTAAAAAATAAGTTAAACAGCACTATACTGTATACTGTACTAAAGTAAAGTTGCTGTTTTGCAAAAACAACTTGATTAACACCATAAGCCACTCTTGTGCACAGTTTATATGTCGAAATGCATTGCTACAATTTGTACCCATAGCTGACTCTAGCATACAAAAAAATAAGTTTATAAGGGTTCTCAAACAATATATTTTTTTTTTCTTAGCAAATGGCTATAAAGTAACATGGGGTTACTTTTTATCATTATATGTACTGGATGGACAAGAGCTTCACAACTGAACAGCCAAGCTTGATAATTTGGACTTGTCTCATTTTCTGCTGTGCACCTGGCGGCTCAGCTCATATTATGATCCTTGTCTTTTCTCACATAGTGTATAAGTCCACAGTTTGTGTCTTCTTAATTTCCAGCAATTTCAAGGTCTGTTCACTCTGTTTCAACAGAAATATACCATATGAAGCATGACGCCCATGCTGAATGTTCACCCATTAGATTCCTGCATTGTTCACTGAGAGGACAGGTAATGAAGACCATATTTTTCTAAGGCTCAGATGTCCCCAGACAGAATAAAGATATTGACAAGGAAGAGATGCACTGCAGTATCAAAGGTTATTAGTTGTTATAAAACATGTTTCTGCAGAAGACGATAGATACAAGAACTTTTATAATTTTGTATTTGATTTGTATGTCGTTTGGCTGCTTGTATTTTGAAGATATGTAATAAATGTAAGTAATTTTTTATATAAAATGTAAATTAATATTGAATAAAAGGGGCTTAATTTCCATTTAACTTCTCATTCTTTAACCACGGCAGTGGAGAGTATAACCAATCTCTCCAAATGATCATAAAGCCACTAAAGTAGTTCGCATTCTAGAGAATTTGGAACGATATGTGCATCAAAAATACACATACACTCAAGCGTGCGGTTCTGTAGATCTAAACCAGTTGTTGGACTTGGTCAGTGAACTCACATGTAAGTCACCAGTTTGTGCTCTTACATGCGGTGCAGAGGAAAGTGGCTGGAAGGAGCATTATTAGCCTCCCTGTGTTTTCAGGAAGTCCTGCTTTATTCATTACCTGGAGGTGAGGACACCAAGGGCACAAGTTGAATGATAATCCCTGTTGACTTTTACTTTACTTACATGTCTGTCTCCATGCATCCCACTTCAATTGCCTTAGCAACAAGAAGAGGTGGCAGTACTTTGACCTTTTCTCCAGCGTTCTGTCCTAGTGTCTGTGCATACCAGTATCAGAGTCAGAGTTTCTTTATTGTCATTAGCACCTCATATGGAGCATGTGGTGGAACAAAATTGTGTACACAGGGTCCAAGGTACATCCAACAATAACATGTAAACTCAAAACAGTAATAAGATCTAAGATACAAACTAAGAAAAACATTAACTAAAAATATGCTAAGCACTAATAGCATAAAAACAATACGCCGAACAGCAGCACGAACATGAGTCTGTGTGAGCAGATGAGCACAAATGAACACAGCAACGTGAAACAGATCACCAGCAGCATGATGTGCTTTTTTCACAGTGATTATCCTTGTTAGATATTCATGAGTCTAACAGCCTCAGGGTAGAAGCTGTTCCTCAGTCTAGTGGTTCTACACTTAATGCTTCTCAACCTCCTGCCTGAGGGGATCGGGGCAAAAAGTATGTGTGCTGGGTGAGGGGGGTCCTTAATGGTGCAGGTGGCCCTCTTCCTGCATCTGGAGGTGTAGATGTCTGTGATGGTGGGGAGACTGACTCCAACAGACTTCTGTGCAGCTTTCACCACTCTCTGCAAAGCTTTTCTTTCTGCAGCTGTGCAGCCTCCATGCCGCACAGGATGCTCTCCACTGCACACATGTAGAAGGAGGTGAGGACTGTGCTTCCCAGTACAGACAGGACATGACATCTGCATGACACTACGAGCACATGCCAAAGCGTCAGCTTTCCCAATTGTCCTCCATGCTAAAACTATTTAAGAGTCAACACTGTAATAGGAGTCCTAAATAAAACAATGATAAAAGCTTAACTGATTATTGTGTAAGCTCGTGCAAGTTCTCAAACTATTTTACAGTGCAAATGAATCATTTGCTTATATTAAGATTAAAGGACTTGTATGAAATCAAAATGGTCATGATTAAGAGCACTGGGGGAATTTGTATGGTTCTACCTTTTTTTTAGATGCTGCAGACACGTTGAAGGCTCTACTATAACCTTCAGAATGTTTTCCAAGGGAGCAGGAAAATTTGGTGATCCTTAAAATATATATTTTTTTCTTTAAACATGCAGTGAACATGTTCGGTTAGCCTTTATCTCAGTGCACCGTACTCAAGAGTACACAACTCTGCCCTCCCCGTAGTAACATTCACATTTCAAAGATGTTCAAAAGTTTTTGAGCTGAGATAAAGACAATGAAAATGCAAGCATTTATTCATAAATGGCAAGAGAGCAACAGCATGGTAAAAAAAAGGTATTTATTCAAATAACAGATTGTTTCCTAATGACAACTTGTTTTAGATGTTTAGTTAATCCTTATAATCTGTACCCTTTTAATTAAAACAAACAAATTAAATCAAAAACTGAAACAATTGTGAAAAGACACTATAGGGGCAGTTTAAGACTCCCAACTTGGCAGAATGTTAATGTTAAGCAACAGTTGGTCAACTAAAGCTTCTCATCTGTGAGTGTCTGCAAAATATGATATGTTTTAGTGGAGCATCAGCAAAACAGCATAGTGAACTAATGAATATAAAATTGCTCTGAACACCCACAGGCATTCTGTAGGTTCTAGTGCTGATGAGCCATTTCTCTGCAGCCATTTGAGGACCATTTGACATGGATTTATGTGATTCAGCCCAGTTTCTGAGTTACACAGAGATTACATTTTCACAGTATTGGAAGATAAACTTTTAGCACTTTTTTCAACTTATTTATAAAACATCCTGATGCATGCTCAATAATTCAGGTAGATTTGGATTATTTATGAAACATTTCCTCACTTGTAATTATTTTAAAAAGATGTTTACTAACAATTGGCTCAAGTCATATTGGCACAGTATTTGAAATGTTAAGTAATACAATAATTGTTTCATTAAAATGCACTATTTGCTAAGGATATCTGGTGCCTACATTAATACGAATGTTAGTTTGAAAAAAAATCACCATTTCAAATTGTTAAGTTTATTATGGGGATCAGACCCAGAAAGCAGACAGATTCCACGAGCTCAATAAAACTTAACTTTATTAGAATGAAAAGAAAAAGCTGGCGTGGAAGTCCATAACAAAAAATGCACAGGAAATACTAACAGAAGTGTCTTGGGAGAAAGCTTGACTGTGTAATAACACCAACAACGCAGAAGTGATTTGAAGGTGGAGAGAAACAGAATATAAAGGATTCGGCTGATGAGCTAAGTGGAACAAACTGTGCTGAATACAAAACAGGAACACGTGAGAGTGAGGTGCACTGAAATGTACTGAAACGTGAACTGATGGTACAAAGAATCCCATGAACTGAAAGATAATTTAAAAAAAGACAAGTGAGAAAGACAAGAATCACAAAACACAAATAGCCCAAACAAGACACAAGAATCCATATTTCATAATCCAGGACTCTTTTGTAAATGAGTCCCAGAGGCTCAATGAGATTATCCAGTATAAATAAAGGTTGAATGAAATATAAACCCAGATCCTGAAACAAATGTTGCATATATTTTGCACACATTTAAAATGAAAAATTTCCATCACTATGAAAAGCCAAAAAACGTGTTTTATACCAAATATTTGCCAGAACTTGATAAAGAACATGGACAAAAGGTGCATTCAAGTCAAGTCAAGTCAAGTCAAGGTTCTTTATTGTCATTCGTACCACGTGGTGGAACGAAATTGTGTACACAGGTTCCCAGTTACATCCAACAAAAGTATAAATTGTAAAGAAAAACAGTAAGATATAATATATTAACTAAGAAATACACTAAAACTAAGAATACACTAAGCACTAATAGTACAAAAACAATATGCCGAACAGCAGCACGAACATGAGTCTGTGTGAGCAGATGAGTATGAATGAACACAGCAGCATGAAACAAATCAGCAGCATGAGCATACATTGACTTAATCTTTATAGCACCATGGAAGAAAGTAGCTTGAAATAAATGCAGATGCAGTATAAAGATATGAATAAAATTATATGGAGATAAATCTGAGGAAAAGCTACAATTAACGTCCAGAAAAGAAAAGAAAAAGAACAAACAAAGTGTAGTTGTACAATAAGCAAATACATAAACAAAATATTTTGCTTTTATTGTGAAGAAACGTTCTGTCACATGTCCTTAAATGATCTCTGACTCTACAGTCCTAGAAGTGAGTCAAGTTTCTGATGCTCACACCTGGCTCTCAAATATGCCTCAAAAGGGAATAAAAACTGGAATTTGAAAACATGTCCAGGACTGAGACACCCGGCACTCCCCCTCCCATCACCTTGCCAATTGATTTTTTTGTCTCTTTCCACTTAGCAAGCATCGCCATTCTCCTGCATAAACATCAGAAAAACCCAGAGGGCTCATCTCTCGGACAGAATCAATAACAACAGGAGTCGTATTCACATTATAAACAACAAGTCCTGCATACTCATGCTGCAGTGTGCACCATGGAAAGCTGCTTATCGCTCCATGTGCGGTGAGTAGGTTGGGACTTACCAACGGCACAGAGAAATGACAACAGAAACTAATCAAGGAAAAACAGGCTGAGGGAAACCTCCATTTGATAACTTCAGGTAATACTATCTTAAGCATGGCAGTAGGGGTTTGAGTATGACCCATTTTCTCAATTGCATTTTTATGAAT